CGGCCAGGGCCCCTGTCTTCTTTATTAAGGTGCGAGAGGCTCCGCTGGCTTAGGGGTGGACCAGAAAGTGCCTGTGGTTGAAAATTGTGTCAATTAGTGTTCTGTGTAAAAGAAGAATCTAGCTCATCTGGTTGAACCAAATCGCATAACGGGAAGCCCAAAGGCTGATCAGTCAGCCCCTGGGGCCCAGGGGCTCCTGGGCTGCCCAGTTCCCCCTTGTGTGTCCCACAGCTCAGCCTCCCAGAGGAGGGCTCTGTTCTGAGATGCCTCCCCTCGAGTGGTGGAGAGACACCAGGAAGCTCTGGTGTACACGCTCCCTACTCCTAGTCCAGAAGAAAGACCGTCCACTCAGAGCCCGTGCAGGAGGAAGTGAAACCAGGCAACAAATGGGTCCGGGCTGCCTGTCAATTAAGCAGAAACAAGATTGAATCCTATCTGAGCATCTATTTTAATCCTGCAGACAGTGTGGGAGAGCAGCCAGGTCATCCTGCAAAGATCTGCTCTGCACTCCCTCCGCAGCCCGTGGCTTGTAGTGGGTATTCCATGGGGACGGAGGCAAAAGGAACATCCCTGGGTACAGATTGCAGGCATGGAAGTCACGGGAGATGGGGAATGTAGGCTGTCTCCAGTGCATGTCTCCAAGACTCCAAGGTTGTTAGTCTATTGTCTTTTTGCATCTCCTATGACATATCTTTGGAATGTCAGTCACTTTCCTATTTCTGGACCCTTCAAAGCACAGGCACGGCTCTGCGGAGACCACAGAACCCCTCATTGTTATTGAGTTCATTGTTGACTGTTCACTATCCTGTGCCCATCTATGTGGAAGATGCATGTGTCTATCATTTTCCTTTTCATCCAATCCCAGAGCCCCCCACCCACCAGTTTTGCTTTCTCCTGCCTCCCTAATCCGGCACCAATGGATTTCATGTAACTCACCTGCACCTCCTCTTTTGATCGTAATGTATAAGTGAAGGTGCAACACTGCCATTCTCCGAGCGTGAGCTCAATCCGATGAGGTTTTGAGATTTTGCTTCCCATTGTTGAAAATTTGGGCTCAAATAAACTTACAAAAATTCTTCACAGGTTTGAATGTTTCTTATGTTGACAAGAGTCTGTGGAGGGTTTGGAGTCAGGTAAATTCAAATTCCAATCTCTGCCCACCTAACCATGCTCTGGGAGCGTGGGGAAATCCCCATGTTGGTCTCAGTTTCTTCATCTGTAGAATGGGGGTGATGACAGCAAGACTTCAGAGCATTGTTGTGAGATTGACAAACTGCTAGGGGGCAGTTTCCCCTGGGAGAGCCAGGAAGAGGCTGTGGGGCTGGCCATAGCCCAAGAGATGGCTCCCAGGAGGAAGTGTCAACGTAAGAAACATTCAGGCCTATAGAGTATTTTTTGTGAGTTTATTTGAGCCAAACTGTGAACAATTGTCGAGAAGCAAAATCTCAACAGATTGGGGTAATGCTCCTGAGATTAGCACTTTTGCACCTTATTTTATACATTACAATCAAAAGAGAAGACACAAGTGAATTACATGAAATCCATTGGTGATGGGTTAGGGAGGCGGGAGAAAGCAAGGGGGGGGGTCCTCTGGGATTGGATGAAAAGTAAAATGATAGACACATGCATCTTTTACAGAGGAGCACAGGATAGTTAACAGTCAACAATTAACATGATAACAATAACAATGAGAGGATTTATGGTCTCCACCAGGTGCTTTGGCTGTTCCCTGAGGGGTCTGGAAAAAGGGGAGTTACCCTGACATCCAAAGGAATGTTACCGGAGGTGCAAAAAGACAATAGACAGGCTCAGTTAAGGTAAAGACTGATGTTTGTCCTGGAAGATTATAGCCTAGGACCGGACTACCTGCCATAAACTGTTTTTATTTTTTTCATTTTATTTTTATTTATTTAATCATGAACTGTTTTTAGTTAACAAGTTTTAATTTCAGACCATCCTTTGTGGTTACTTAAAAAATTTTTTTGTTATTAATTTCAGAGAGAGAGAGAGAAAGAGAGAGAGAAAGAAAGAAACATTGATGAGAGAGGACATCGATTGGCCGCCTCCTGCCTGCCCCCCACTGGGGATTTGGCCCCCAACCTGGGCATGTGTCCTGACCGGGAATCGGGAATCGAACCAGCAACCTCTTTGTGCATGGGTCGACTGCTCAACCACTGAGCCACACCGGCTGGGCTGTGGTTACTTTAGGTCTGAGTTTGCAAGGCCTCCATGCAGGCCCCTTTCAGTCCACAAAAGCCATTTCCTTTTCAATTATTTTCTAATCCCTCTGTTGAGGTCGGGCTAGTAGTCTCTAGGTTTGATCTTGAATTCCTCCCTACAGCCCTGCCCTGTGAATTTCACAAGGAGAGGGCAGGAGGGAGCTCAGCCCGCAGACAGGCAATCGCATCTCCAGAGCCTGGGAGCATTGTTTTATTTTCATTTTTACCTATTCTAGTAGTGGTAGTAGTGTTCTCTCTAGGGCAGTGATACAAAGTTTCCTTTTCAAATACATTTATTGGAATGAAAAAGCCAATATAAAGAAAAAGTATTGTGCATATTACTAACAGGCTTATTTATGCCACACATGTTCGTTGAAGTGCCCAGCTACTCTGTTCCGGACACTGTTCCAGGAGGGAGTAAGGCAGCCCTGGGGAGTTCACCTTCTAGTGCAGGAGACTGGCGACAAAATCAACGCATGACTGAAACATAAAGCATGTCACAGGGTGATACGTGCATGGGGATGATCAAGGGGGGAAGGCAGTGGCCACTGCAGGATAGGCGTGACCGGTTAGAAATAGGGAGAGCTGAGAAGGTGACACTGAAGCTTGAACCTGAAGCAGGTGAGGGAGACAGCTGCGTATTTATCTGGGCAAGGCTGTCCAGGCAAAGGAGCAGCCAGAGGAAGGCCCTGGAGGGGCTGAGAGCCAGCGAGGAGGCAGGAGCGGCTGGGCAGGGTCCCGGATGAGCAGAAAGGGATGAGGTCAGAGGTAGAAGCTGGGTTTCTTCTGAGTTCAGTGAGGAACCGCTGGAGGGGCTGGGGCAGAGGAGGGATGTAATCTGACCTGGTTCTCCCATCACCGCTCTGGTGCTGTTTGGACCTGGAAGTGGGAGGGACAGGAAGACCAGTGAGAGGAGGTCCTCGCGCTCAGCCTGGAGAGGGTTTGGTGACTTGGACGAGTGGTGGGGTGAGAAGTACAGCTGTAGGCCACACTTGGGCTTTCCCCTGATAAGTCTCCAAAGCCAGGGGGGCATGGCAGCATCAGGGTAAAGAGTTGAGCGCGTGGGCCCTGGCCGGTTTGGCGCAGCGGTTAGAGCGTCAGCCTGCGGTCCAGAGAGACCCGGGTTCAGTTTCCGCCAAGGGCACGTACCTCCGTTGCAGTTTGTCCCCGGCCCTGGTTGGTCGTGCGGGTGGCAGCCACTCGATGTGTCCCTTTCACGTCGATGTTTCTCTCTCTCTCTCTCTCTCTCTCTCTCTCTCTCTTCCTCTCTCTCCCTCCCACTCTATAAGAACAAAAAATGGAAAAATGTCCTCGGGTGAGGATTAAGAAAAAAAGAGTTGAGCATGGGGCCCTGCCAACGTTAGAGGTTGGAGAGCGGAAGGTGTTCGCAGAGGAGACTGGGTGGTGGCCGGGGAGGAGGAGGAGGACCCGCCAACGTGGTGTCTGGCCAGCAGAGAGAGGAAGATGCTTCAGAAAGGAGGAAGCAAGCAGCCCTGGCATGCTGTCGGAGGCATCCGTGGGACAAGGCATGAACCTACCAACACATCACTGGAACCAGAAAACTGACAGATTTCGTGGATCATTGGGGGGAGGGTAGACAAGAGCTAGATCAGAGGGGTACAAGGGAGAACGAGGGGAGAGAGCCTGCAGTCAGGGTGGAGACAACTCTGGCAGGACTTTGCTATAAAGAGACGGAGAAAGTGAGGCAGCAGTAGCTGGAGTGGGCAGAGGGGTCATAAGAGGGGTTCCTGTTTTCTCGTTTTAGTTTTAAGGTGGGCTGAGGCAGAATTGCCGGGTCTGTGTTGGCTCCAAGGGTGGGATCTTTTATCTTTTTTTTTTTTTCTTTTTTTATCCTCACCCGAGGACATTTTTCCATCTTTTGTACAGATAGAGTGGGAGGGAGAGAGAGAGAGAAACATCGACGTGAAAGGGACACATCGAGTGGCTGCCACCCGCACGACCAACCAGGGCCGGGGACAAACTGCAACCGAGGTACATGCCCTTAGCGGGAACCGAACCCGGGTCTCTCCGGACCGCAGGCCGACGCTCCAACCGCTGAGCCAAACCGGCCAGGGCCAAGGGTGGGATCTTGAGGGCAAGTGAGGAGATGTGGGGTCAGCCCGCTCCTGGTGGGAATTGTCTTCTGATTCATTCATTCAAAGGATAATTACGGGGCAGCCACTAAGTGCCAGGCTGTTCCTGGGGCTGGGACGGTGTGTTTCCATGTTCTAGTGGCCTGGGCACCAGTCATCCGAGGATGGGCAGGGAGGAGTGAGGAAGACCCCGCAAGTGTAGCAGACCCAGAGGAGCGTGAGCAGGAAGGAAGATGTGAAGGTAACACTCTGGGTGGTGCCAGCAAAGCTTTAGCACGTGTCGCAGTTGAGCTGGGGGAGGGGGGCGGTTAATGACTATATTCCAGGAGGTTGCATCAGGCAGGCCCGAGTTCAAATACTGGCACTGCCCCTTTTCAGTTGCATGATGTTCAAGTCACTTAACCACTCTGAGCCTCAGATTTCTCACCTGTTAAAAAGGGGATTTTTGTAACGGACAGCGAGGCGGCAGGGAGCACAGGTGGGCTCCACACCTGCGGGCCTGCGGGCTGGTGACGGCCCAGCCCCGCGCCCGGAGCCTGGAAGCACGGGCGGCCGGGAAGAGGGAACCTAGCAGGGGCGGTGGGCTGGGTGGAGCGGGCGGCGCTGACCACGCCCCGGGACCGGAGAGGCGGTATTCCCGCTGGCAGGGCTCGGGGCCGCTTGTCCGCCTCCGGCCGGCGCTGGAGCGGGAGGTGCGGAGGGTGTGCGGGCGGCGGTCCGGGACGCGGGCCTGGGGGAGCCCTGGCCCGGGTGGGAAGAGGCGCTCCAAGAGGGGACGGGAAGGGCTCAGCCGCTGCCTGGGCCACCTGTTCCCGAGGGACATTTGAGTGTGCACCGACTGTGCGCGGCGGTCCCGGGCTGTCGCCTCCACCCCACTGCGCCCCAAAGTTGAGCGCAGCGGCTGGACCGAGAGCCCCGGCCATTCTGCGGAGGCGCGCCCCGCCCCAGCCCTCGGAGCTGCCCCGCCCAGACCGGGGACCCCGTGGGAGAGAGCCTTGGGGGCGAGAAGCTCGGGTCCTGGTGTGGGCCCCACCCGCTCCGCGGCGACCTTGGGTGAGTCGCCGCGATGTCTGGGGGCGCGGAACGTCCCGGGAGGCCTGGCCCCGGAGGGAGGGCAGCGCGGGGAGCGGCCAGCTGGGGCAGGAGATGCCGAGGCTTTGGACGCGCCGAGACGGGCAGGGGCCTCCAGGTGGAGGGGCGGCCTGGGTGGCCGCTGGCAGGTCGGAAAGTCGGCCCCGCGCTCCCTCTCAGGATCCAGATCCGCAACGACCCCTCCTTCCGGCGAGCTCCCCCCACCCCCTCGCCTCCAGACGGGAAAGATCTAGAGAATTGGGAGCCGGGATGTGCTGCGGGAGGTCCAGCCTCAGAGTCCCTCGTCTTCACTGCTAGGGGAGCGCCCTGGCCTCAGTTTCCCCATCTGACACTGGGGTGGAAGTTCAGGCTGTCTTGCCAGACTCAGCTGAGCTCTGGCTCTGAGAGGGTTAAAAGCCATCTCCCTTGCACCCACTCTTTCTCAGGAGGACACTCATGGTCTCCCCCAGATACTGAAGGATTGCTCCATCCAGGCCCCTGGAGCCACAGAGTCTGGGAAAGCCGTTTATCCCGTCGTTCATGAAATGCCCTGGAGCACCTGGTGTGACCAGTCTGGCCCTCCTGTTCTCCAGTGGCCCAAGGGCTTCCCCTTGGTCACCTCCTTCCAAAGAAGGGGGAGCCACCCCGTGCAGGTGACAAGCAGGCTAGCCAGGACTACACCCCTCCACGCTCGTTCCTGCACTCCATGTTCCCACGGCTGAGATCCCCTATACAGGCCGGCTCCCCAGATCAGGCCCAGATACAAAGGAAAAGAAAGTCAGATGGAACCCTCTCTGTTGTTTATTTGTCTCTTATGCCTGGGGTGCCTGCCCCTGCTCGTCTGCCAGGATGTCCCAGTATTAGAGGACGAACTCCAAAATGGAAATTCTTCAAAATGTGTTTTGTTTCCTTGTACCAAACGAAGCCTTTGAGCTGCCTAGGTTCGTGGGGCTGTGCTGGGTGTGTGTCATGGACCTGGGCCCCTTCGTGTGGCAGGGTCGGCAGGGTCCTTCACTTTACTCGGAACATCGGGAGGTTGTGACCCACTCCATGAGCCCCAGCCAGCAGGTCCTGAACCCGCCGTGCCATGGGAGACCAGGGCAGCAGGGGATGCAAGACCCCCAAGGTCTGAGTTGGGACCTGGGTGGAGTGAGAGGTGGCTGCCTGGACGTTTGTGGCAGGACTGGAGGAAAGGGCAGATAAGAAAGGGGAGCTTGAAGTGTGGAAACAGCTCCTCCTTGCCTCCCAGCTGCTGCCCCTTCTGAGGGTGGGGTGGATGGCTGCACCTGAGACCCGGCTACCCAAGCTCTGCCCCGCTGTGCCCTCTGGAATGCACTCCTCCTAGTAGGGTACTTCTCAGGTGTGGTCACAACTTCCTTGTCTCACTGGGGCGAAGGAACCTTGACTGAAGCCCGGTGGCCCAGCCTGGCACATCATACGTGTTCATTGAATGTTACTTGAAAGAATTAAGTAAAAGAAGTAGAGGGGGGAATTCCATGTCTGCATCACTTGGAAATAATGATTGTTCAAAGGTGCCCTTCTTGCCAGACTTTTAAAGTGCTTTTTTACACATTTGAATTTCTTGGCTATATAAATGTTTCAAATCCCTCACCTCTCTCAACATTGTTTTTTCTATTTTTCAACGCTTACATATTGTTACATCCTATGCAGTTAGTGGATCTCGTTAACATGTAGGGTTTATTTCTATTTAGCACTTTAGATAATGCTACATTGAATTTATGCACAAATTCTTATGTTGCTGGATGTTTCTTCGTATTCGCTGCATGTGAGCCTCTAGAAGTGCTATACCCAGAGCCAGCTGGCTCTCAAGAGGGACTGTACATCTTCCTGGGGCATTTCTTATTGTTTCCTAGACATGAAATTACCGGGATCTCTGTGTGTTTCTTACTTGTTTGAGCGCATCAGTGAGGTCCTTGCTTCTTGTCTCTCTGCGGCCAACATCTTTTCCCAGGTTATAGTTTAGTTTTTGTTTTTTTTTTATCCTCACCCGAGGACATTTTTCGATATTTTGTTCTAGAGTGGGAGGGAGGGAGAGAGAGAGAGAGAGAGAGAAACATCGACGTGAAAGGGACACATCGAGTGGCTGCCACCCGCACGACCAACCAGGGCCGGGGACAAACTGCAACCGAGGTACGTGCCCTTAGCGGGAACCAAACCCGGGTCTCTCCGGACCGCAGGCCGACGCTCTAACCGCTGAGCCAAACCGGCCAGGGCTATAGTTTAGTTTTGATTTTTGCTGCTGCTGGTGTGTTTAAGGAGCATGTTGTTCATTTCTATTTTACTTGATCTGTGTGTGTGCTTTTTGATAAGGGAAACATGAGCTGAAGAGAAAGAGCCAAAAGAGAGGGGTCGGCTGAGAAGGAGGGGCAGGTCCCAGAGGGTGCAGGAGGTGGCAGGGGTGGGGAACCTATTTTCTGTGGATATTTACAACATCGTTCTCGGGCCATGAAAAATTAGCCTGCTGTATTTGGTCAGACTAATTGGTGAGGCGTGTGATGTTAGCTGGTATTGATTTCAAGGGTCTTACACGCCTCCCAACGGCCCCCACCCCTGGCCAAGGGACCTGAGCTGGTGAGGACAGGAAGTGAGAGAGAGGGGCTGGGAAGACACCTTACGAATGAATCGGCTTTGATCTTTCAAAGGGAGGAACATGGAAAAGCATCTGTGGAGAGGTGGTTCTGGACCTGAGGTTCCCAGCTCCCTGTGCTGTTTGCTGGCCTGGTTCCCTTAACTCCTCCCTGCTTCCCTGGGAAGTAGCAGGTGTTATTACCCCCTTTGACAGACTGGGGGGAGTGCCTTGCTCAGGGTCAGTCAGCTGGTGAGTGGCAGGGCTGGGCTCTCCTGGGCACCAGCTACGTGCCCTTGAGACTCCTTCCTGTTGGGCTGCCATTTCTAATGAATATAGGGAGGCCGCTCTCGGTCTGGAACTTGGTGAGGCTGTTCGTTCCTCTCCTGTCTGCCTTTGTGTGTCCTCTTTCTGGACAGACCCACCCCCGTGAGTCCAGGAGCTTCCAGCAGAAGCAGAGTTGACCACGGGACCAGGGAACCCCTTCCTGTCCGGGCCAGTGACCGCACAGTCCCGGGTGCCTGAACTCTCGCCCGCCCGCCGCCGACCCCGCAGAAGCAGACAGCCCTCTGCATGCCACCCCCGCGCAGAGGCTGAGTGGGCAGCCGGGGAGCAAGGTGGGCAGCACAGGAGCGTGAACAGGAAAAGCTGTCTTCCCGTTCCGTGGACAGGCTTGAGTGGAAAGAGCAGAAGCCACGGCCCAGGTGCAGACACCGCGCTGGAGGGGTCCCCCAGCCCTCAGGTTGTCTCTCGGCTTCCTTTGCTCCCTCCCAAGCTCTCCAAAGCCACCTCTTGAGTTGAGAGCAGGTTTCCACCAACTGAGCCCCCACCAGGGGCCAGACACCTCCTCACCTGATCTTATTGAACCCTCGCAGCCATGCTGTACTATTATTCCCATTTTATAGATGAGGAAACTGAGACTCAGAGTCAAGCGTCCCTTTGTCACAGATCTGGGCCCCTGGCCCCAGCGCAGTCCCAGGTGAGCCAGGCTGGGCCACAGGCACGCTCCTTCTCCTGGCAAAGGGGGCGTGAACCCCAGCGGTGCCTCGGTGTCCTCCGGAGTAGTGGGGCAGTGAAGCAAGTCATTGCGTGAAAACCACTCTGACCAGTGGCCGTGCCCATGTGCCCGTAGGAAATAGGCAGCGCTGGCATTAGATCTCCCAGCTCCACACCCAACAGGAAGCTCTCCCTAAATGCCAACAACCACCTGCCTCCTCCCGGGAGGACAGGACAGGACAGGACGGGGCGCGCTCTGACACTGGAGAGAACCTGGACTTGAACCTATCTGGAGATAAGTTAGCGATCTGCATCTAAACCTTAAATCACGTTTCCTTAGACTCAAGAGGCTCCTTTCTAGGAAAGGGTCAGCCCACCATGCAGGGTCTCGGCCTATGGAGGTCATGAAGGGTGTGCTCAGAACAGGTGTTCACGCCGGGCTATCACGGCGGTGTCCATAAAAGCGAAAATGTGGGAAGCGCATTTCCAGGGGTCAAGATGGAAAGTGGGTGACATGAGGCAGGGACTGCTACATGACAGGGTTCACCGAAGCCCTGGGGATTAGGGTGTGGAGCTGGATTTACCGACACGCTGTGATGAAAGGCAGAGCGTGTATTTTCAAGCGGCTTTTTCCAGGTCTAATTTAAACGCTTCGCACCCGGACGGTGGATTGACCCTTAGGAAATGTACACAGTTGTGCAACACCCACCACCTGGTTTTATAACACTGGGGCCTCTCATCTTTTTCTTCTTCTAATTTTTTTTTTCTTTATTGATGTTAGAGAGAGAAGAAGGGAGAGGTAGAGAGAGAGAGAAACATCGATGAGAGAGAACATCGGTTGGCCGCCTCCTGCATGCCCCCCACTGGGGATTTGGCCCACAACCTGGGCATGTGTCCTGACTGGGAATTGAACCAGTGACCTCTTGGTGCCTGGGTCGACACTCAACCACTGAGTCACACCGGCCGGGCAGGAGCCCCCTCATCTTTTGCAATGAAAAATAAAACAAGGTATGGAACAGCACATGTGCCAGGACCTCCTTTTTAAAAAAAAAAGAGAGAAAGGGAGAGGGAGAGACAGAAACATTGATTTCTGCCTCCTGCACGCCCCCTACTGGGAATCCAGCTCAGAACCTGCATATGTGCCCTGCCAGGGTATCGGACCAGCAACCTCTTGGTGCGTGGGCCGATGCTTAAGCAACTGAGCCACACCAGCTGGGCAGGATCCCCTTCCATGTGTCTCCTGTACGCAGCTCTGTAAACTTGGCTCCATGTCAACGGAGGCTTCGGAAAAGAACCAGAGAGAGTATACCAAAGGCCACAGGAAGACTGACTGTCACATGCCTCTCCCTCTAGTCCTTAGTGGCTCCAGATGTCTTCAAGATAAAGCAAAGTAGGAGGT